TACTATTCTTGCTTCTTTTATCCTGCCTCCGTGAAATAGACAGAAATAGATAATATTAAAACATCTGTAATCACTTATTGCATAGCAAATTGTTTGTGTGTATGTGTAGTTTTTTTCATCTTGTTCCTATAGAATTTTACTGTTGTAAAAGACCTACCAACTAATCTAGTCTAAGTCACTTCAGAACTGCTTTTTATCTGATGAAAGCATTAGAGCCTTTATAAGAAAACACAAATATACACAAAAAACATTTTTCACACAGTGTCCACAGTCAAAAGTTCCTTTGTGAACTGCCACTTAGACATGTTCTCTCATGGTATGACAAGTACTTTCATCTGCACACGTTGAAATCCCCATATAGTGTAGGTTTAGTCCTGTAAGAGAATGAAAATCTGGAAAGAGTACGGTGACTACTTCTCAAGCTCACACTGCCAACTGACTGATTAACACTTTCAGAACCTGTTCTTTGACCACCTCGGGCAGGTTCCTACATCAGTTGGTCATGGCCCTGGGGCTTCCTGTTTTTGTAATGAGGGTTTTATTGGACCGCACATTCCTTCACAGATGTTACAGCCAGGGGCAGCTGCTGGGTTCTGTCCAGATCTTACTGTGCTGCCTTAGGGACAATAAAACCTGAGTGAGCTCTAGAAGAACATGTCAGCAAAAATCATTCCTGTTTCTTTCTATGTGATTAGATTAAGAATAATGTAAGAAAGCCTGCAAGAGGTAAGATGGTGCTTTTCAGTCTGCTTCTGGTCACAGTAGCCAGCATTTGCCCATACCCACTAAAAACAAAGAGGTGGGTAAAGATAACTTTTTAAAGAAACATTATAGAGTGTGTGCTCAATACTAGTTTCGTGACCCATTTTCAGTGATAAGCAGCTCCTGATCATTACTGGTGATTTTGCTATCATGTGATTTCTCAGTCCTAATATTACCTGCATCTTTACCCCAGAACAGTCCAGCATGATCCTCCTCTGGGACACCACAAATCTCAAGACACCTCTTTCTCCCTTTATCCCACCCCAAGAAGTCCAGGGTGCAATGCTGGAAGTGCTAGCCTTGCTGTCTAACCTGGCTCAGGCAATGACAAGCTTATGCCTGACCAGGAAACTACAGTGTTGGATTTGGTGTGTGAGCTCCGGCTCAAAAATTATTTAATCTGAATTAACAGTCTTGTGTAGTTTTCATTCTCTGCACTCACAGCCCAACAGCATTAGGAATATATGTATCTTCTTCACTTCTAGGATCCAAGAAGCCTGTGTGTAGGGAGATGGATAAGAGGGACCCTTTCACCACTAGCCCATCCAAAAACAACTTGCAGGGAGGGGGTTTCTTCAAGAGTAAGAAATAAATGAGCTCAGAACCATGAGTCTGAACATAATAAAACAAGACAAGAAAACCAACATTGGTAGTAAAGGACACTAAATTGAAAAAGGAAGCAGACACATCCCTTCCTAGGAACTCCAGGAAAGGAAGGTGTGTCATTCTAATAGGAAGGACACCTGGGCATCTGTAGGCAGGTGCACATGCACTCTGGTCCCCAGGGACAGTGGATCAAGAGGTGTTGGGGAGCTTTGTCTTTTCTGCAGAACACCAGCTATAGGGTTATTTATATTGCTGAGTAGTTCTGCATTGTATGATGTAAACACATTTTGTTTACCCACATCTAGAAAGAAAACTGCTGTTGAGTGGTATACTTCCTTTCAAACATTGGAAGAAACCAGCAAATTGTTTTCCAAAGTGGCTATACCATCTTGCATCCCCACTTTGAAAGTGTGAAAGTTTTACACACCCTCACAGATACTTGATATTTTTCAGCTTCTTTAGTCATTCTAGTGTTTGGTTGAGTTCTAGTATCTCATTGTGGATTTAATTTGCATTTCTATTACAAATAATAGACATTTGTGTATCTTCTTTGGTGGAGTTTCTGTTCTAGTCCACCACCACCACCCTTATTTTTTCAGTTGGATTGTCTGCCCCATTATTGAGTTGTAGGAGTTTTTTGTATGTTTTAGATACAACCCCTTTTCCAGAAATGCTTCATAAACATTTTTGCCCAATGTTGGTTTTTTTCCCCGCTTTGGTACTAGGAATTGAACTCAAGGGCACTATGCTCCTGAGCCACATCCCAGCCCTTTTTATCTTTTGAGACAGGGTCTCACTAAGTTTCTTTAGGCCTCACTGTTGCTAAGGCTGACCTTGAACTTGCAGTCCTCCTGCCTCAGCCTACAGGTGTGTACCACTGCATCCAGCCCAGTGTATTTCTTAATGGTGTCTTTTGAAGAGTAAAGATTTTTAATTTTGATAAGGTTAAGATCACAATTTTTTTCATTTATGATTTGTATTTCTGGTATCACAGCTAAGATCATCTTTGGCTGACCCAAGGTAATGAAGATTTACCTTGATTCCTTCTGGAAGTTTTACAGTTGGCATAGCGGTAGCTCTTGAATTTAGGTTTATGATCTCTTTCAATTTAATTTTTGTGTATGCAGTGAAAGAAGGTTCGGGAGTGTTATGTGTGTTTATGATCATTCTAATACCACTGGTTTTAAAATCTATACTTTCCAATTAAATTATCTTGGCACCTTTGTCAAAATCAGTTGACCACACACGTGAGTCAACTTCTGAACTCTGTTTTCCGTTTACCAACATGCCTATGTTAATATTAACTGACTTGGTTACTGAAACTCACACGAACGAATGAATGATGTCCAGATTGACTTAACCTTTCCCACCCTCGATCATTGGACAGAGGCAGCAGCCACTGGGTGGGTCATCAGGAATCTAGGTGAGCATCCCCTGCTTGCCAAACATTGTCCAGCTGTGAAGACATCTGTCATTTCCTACAACTGTTCATCTGCTTTGGGGGCCTGATCTTATGATTTCTATATTCTAGGAGAGGTCATTGCAAAAGGCATTTTTCTTCCCTTTTGAGAGAAGGAAATTAAGGCTGTTGCCTCAGCCAAGAATTAACTTTATGTTTATCTACTTGGTGGAAGTAGGAGATACAAAATAAAATCATGGCATTTGCAGGTAAATGGGTGGCATTGGAGAAGATAATGCTAAGTGAAGTTAGCCAATCCCCAAAAAACAAATGCAGAATGTTTTCTCTGATATAAGGGAGGCTGATTCATAGTGGGGTAGGGAGGGGGAGCATGGGAGGAATAGGTGAATTCTAGATAGGGAAGAGGGGTGGGAGGGAAAGGGAGAGGGCAGGGGATTAGCAAGGATGGTGGAATGTGATGGACATCATTATCCAAAGTACATGTATGAAGACACGAATTGGTTATCAACATACTTTATATACAGAGATATGAAAAATCGTGGTATATATGTGTAATAAGAATTGTAATGCAAAAAAAGTACATGTATAAAGACATGAATTGGCATGAACATACTTTATATAAAAAGACGAAAAATTGTGCTCTATATGTGTAATAAGAATTGTAATGCATTCCGCTGTTGTGTATTTAAAAAAATAAAATCAAATTTAAAAAACCAAAAGAATATATAAAAATTTTTTCTCTCATTATTTTAAGTATTAATTTTAAAATCTTGCAAATGAGATTTTTATAAGAGAGCTCCTGATATTAGTTGATTGATACTAGTTATTTTGAAAGAGAAGAAATTTTAATCTATCTGCAGGAATTAAGGACTATTTTAAAACATCACCATGGTATTCCTTGAAGACTCATGTTCTTAATTGACAACATCAATCAAGGAGAACACAGGCAAATAAATATTTGAAATTATATGTAGAATATGTATTTTACCCTTAAATTTAAAAAAAAAATTACAAGTGTCTTTAAAGTTCTTTTAGAAATAACCATGTAGTAGTCTTAGCAACCAATACTAACTGCTTTCTCAATCATCACATCTTTAGAATAGTTCTTGACCTCAAAGTAAATCTTCCAGGTTCTTCCTCAGGAGTGTGTCTACTCCTTTTGACCTTTTCATTTTAATTAGAATCAGCTGTGCAAACAAGCATGCATACTGGGATTTTGGTAATGACTGCATAACATGTTGATAAATTTGGAAAAATTTAAAATTTAAATTTTGAAAAAAAAATTGACAGCTTTGAAATGTTTGCCAATGTACAAACTTGGTTTGTTTCTTCATTAGATATCATTAAGCTTTTAAAACATTGCTATAAATTGTGTTCTCATATATTTTGGGTATATATTTATTTCTATGTATTTGACATTGCATTATAAGTTGTGTCTTAATTGAAATTTTGTTTTCTATCTGTGGCTAGAATTTATAAGTGATGTTGAGATTTGCCTGTTGACATTTGACAGGCTTGCTAAACTCAAATTCCAGTAGTTCCACTGTAGATTGCCTACAGTTCCAGGAGTCAGCAAACTATGACCCGCAGGCCAGATCCAACTCACAGCCTGTTTTCACAGGCCAAGAATAGTTCTTAACCTTTTAATAAATGATTATAAACGCCCAAAAGCCAGGAACAGTCTCCAGAAACAGTGAGTGGCCTGCTCAGTCTAAAATATGTATGATCTGGCCCTTTACAGAAAGTTTGCTAGCCTGGCACAGCACAGTCATCATCATCTGTGAATAGCGCAGTTTTTAGTTCTTCTGTTTTGTTTATTTTCTTTCTTTTACCACATTAGCTAAAATCTCCAGTGTAAAGTTAGAAAGAAACAGTGGTAGCTGAGAGTTTTAAATTCTTCCCTATCTCAAAGGATAAGCTCAATTTCTTAAGTATGTTATTTTTTTAAATTTTCTATAGCTTTTATCAGACTAAAAATTCCATTCTTTCCTAATATTTAAGAACTTTGATCATAAAGTTACAAAGAAACAAGACAATCAAGAAGTTTACCTTGAAATTGTCACAGGTAATAGACACAAAGGGAGGGGATTTGTACAAATTCTCCTAAGAAGTTCCTAAGACAGAACCTGTTTCTTCATTCTAGCAGTTTCTGTATTTTCTACTTTTAATCAATGTGAAACCGATACATTTTCTATCACTCAAAATTCTTCCCCTTTGCTACAGTTAAAATCTGTATAAGTAGTTTCTTCAAACTGTTATAATGACCTTTTCAAGCTCAGTGTCAAAAAGCATATGAAAAAGTATATTGACAAGTGCAAAACCTGAGCTCAACAGCAGAAATAAGGGAGAAACCCCTTTGTTCATTAACTTACTCATGTCAGACTCATTGAACACAAACTGAGACTCTTGCAAGTCAACAAAATTACTTCCATGTTATGTTTTTCTCTGTAGATATTTTATTATTCAAATAATCTGAAATATATTTAAAGTTGCTTTAGTATTAAGTTACATCTTGTAAGTTCATGAGTTGTGAGTCCGATTGCCTGTGCCACTTCTAACATGATTCAAAAGAGACACATTTTGAAAGACAAGTTGTTTTATTTAGTCCCATTTTAACGTCCCCTTAAAAAGTTTGACTGTTGACTCTGGATATTCAGCTAAGAGAGTCGTATCAAAAACCTGCTTGAATTTATCTAAGAATTCATAATCTGTGCTGAACCTGAACTTGTTTGCCCAAAGTACCACGGTCCCCTGCTGGGAAAGGTGCACCATGGTGAGGAGCAGCTTGTCCAGGAAGTAATGGTGGTACACCACGTCAGAGGCCAAGACATAGTCGTAATGCTGGGCTGCCCTGGGGAAGTTCTGCTCCAGGTCTTGCCCCCACACCAGTTCTTTCACTTCAGGCAGATGTGCTGTGCATTTCAGGGTATTTTTTAAGAGATTGTACTGAAGGTTTCCCAGGACATCAGGTAAATCCGTTGCTGTGACTTGAGCTCCTAAATGAGAGAGAGATGGTAACAATCACCTGGAAACTTTCAGGCCGCCAGAGTACTGATACACTCCGGGAGATCATAAGAGAACCAAGCCCCTTGGCCTGCGCTTGCCATAGCTCAGGCTGGACAATTCTTTCTTGTGTGTGGGCCCATTCTGAACACAGCAAGGTGATTAGTAGGCTCCCCAGTCTCTCCATCCCCGGCCTCCAGATGTCAGTAACTGCAAACCCCCTACCCCACTCCTGAGGTGAAGACCTCCAGGGCTCAGAGTCACCTCTGGACTCTCAACTTAGTCACTTGGAAAACAAGGTGAGCTCAAGGAGTTGCTCAGCCTCTCCAAGACTCAGTCATCTCTGCAGGTGACAGTCACAATTCCTGGCGCATGGCATTTTGGGGAGATACAGTGAGTGAAATTGTGGCCAAGCTCCTACCACAGCCTGCCTGCCACACAAAAAGCACTCTGTCATTGTCACCGTGAAGGTCTTTTACAACTCGATCAGGAAGGAAGGAAGGAACAAACCTAGAATACTGGCCACGATGGAAACAAGGCCTGGTCCAGCACCGATTTCCAGTATTTTGGCATCTTGGAGATTCAACTCCTCTTGATGTTCTTCCAAATACTGGCACAAAGCTGTAGCCTAAAAAACACGAACAACCGGGACTTTCACCTGAGAACTGGAACACTGGACATCAGGAGCAATCCCTCTACCCTCAGAGTTAAAAGACTGAAAGACATTATTTTCTATTTATTGAAGGGTTCAAAAGAACCAAAATCTCATTCAATGCCATATTTAGACCCCTGGAACATAAAAGTTATGATAAATTGCATGTCACAAACTGGAGAAACATTCATTAAATTGACTATACTAGCTATGATCAATTCCTACCCCCCACCCCAAAAAAGCAGGGGGTGGAGATCTGTAGATTAGCTCAGCTCTTACAAATTGGGGAGATGTAGCTAAACAGCAACTTCTTCCCCTGATTTCATCATTTTGGGCCTGCAACTGCCATTTAGAGTGTTATATAAACTTGAAAACTTCTCTTCCCAATCAATCAAAATTCAGCTTCATTAGGACTGTGCTATCTTGGACAACTGGGTAGTTTCTTGGATTCTTGTTTTCTTAAATGGTTCATCAAAGAAACACACTATCAGAACAGTGCTTCTTCAGGATGGAGATTCCTTGGAAAACTGGGAATGGAACCACCATTTGACCCAGCTATCCCTCTCCTCGGTCTATACCCAAAGTATAGAAGGCTTAAAAACAGCATACTACAGGGACACAGCCACATCAATGTTTACAGCAGCACAGTTCACAATAGCTAAACTGTGGAACCAACCTAGATGCCCCTCAGTAGATGAATGGATAAAGAAAATGTGTCATATATACACAATGGAATATTATTCAGCATTAAAGAGAATAAAATCATGGCATTTGCAGGTAAATGGATGGAGTTGGAGAATATTGAAATTAGCCAATTCCAAAAAACCAAATGCCAAATGTTTTATCAGATATAAGGAGGCTGATTCATAGTGGGGTTGGGAGAGGGAACATGGGAGGATTAGATTAACTCTAGGTAAGGTAAAGGGATGGGAGGGGAGAGAAGGGGGCATAGGGGTATAAAAGATGGTGGGATGAGATGGACATCATTACCCTAAGTACATTTAAAAAGATGTGAATGGTGTAAATATACTTTGTGTACAACCTGCGATATGAAAAATTGTGCTCTATATGTATAATATGAATTGTAATGCATTCCACTGTTATACAAATTAGAATTTAAAAGAAAAAAGAACAGTGCTTCTCAAACTTTAGTGTGCCAACAAATGCCCCGGGGTAGCTTATTAAAGATGCAGATCCTTCTCTTGTAGCTCTGGCTCAAAATTCTGCATGTCTAGAGAAGCTCCCAGTGAAGCCAGCCTGCTGGCCTGCTGACCACACTCTGAGTATGGACAAGTTGTTCATTATACATGAAACCAACCATCTCTCTCCTTTATTCATTCTATTCTGTCTCTACCTTGTCCTGACATTTCTGGAAAGAGAAAATGAATGTTCCATTTGCATTGCTTCTCCAGGCGTTATTTATGTAAAGGAAGTGTCCACTAGCAATGCGCTGGGGAAGGAACATTGAGATGAAAAACTATTGAGCTCTATAATTGGTTTTTATGTTTTGGCCCCACGTATAGATATGCTCTTCTGCCTCTGGACTCCAGGTTCTAATCTAGGTTGGAGAGGAGTGGCCAGGGTGATTCCAGACCTGCCACTTATGATTGCCAGTAACAAGGCTAGTACTGCAGATTTTACCCCATAAGTCACTTTACTTCATCCTCATGTGTGCATAGGGAATGGACACATGCAAACATGAACATCACCTTTTTCTCTACTGCCAAGATATTTGGTGGCAGAGCTAGAGGTAAGCAAACCAATTATAAACTAATTCCAGTGATTTCAGGGAGATATATACCAGGTTGGGGGTGGCACATGATAGAGCTGCTGGGAGTCAGGGCTGCATTCTGGGTGCCAGGGAGAGGTGAGCCAAGTGTGGAAAGATGGGCACTCCAAGTGAGGCCACCTGGTGAGACAATGGTGTCAAATAGCACCAACCTGCAGCACTTGGCAAGGCACTCAGAGTTGAGAAGGGGAGTTCTGAGGAAGGAGCTGAGTTTTTCTGTGAGGGCATTCAATAAGAGGAGAGTGTCACTGGCATGGCCAGAGGACACATGCTGCCCTGTCCTCCAGGAGGGTCTGGCCCCAGTCAGGGGTCATCTGGAGATAAAAGCCTTCTCAGGAACAGCTACAACTTTTGACATGACAAACACCCATCCCTCTTAGCCCTGTGAGCAAACTCTAAAAGGAGCTCCTTCACAGATTCCGCCCCTGCAGGCACCCAGAGGGTCTTCCCACTTGACATGCGACTCTCCTAAAACTTTCAGGGGATCCCAAGAGAGGTGCGTTCGGGTGCATAAATGGCTGAGGCCTTAGCATAAAACAATTGAGTGGACAAATGTGCCGTTTCCATTCCTAATCTGTTGCCACCGCTCTGGTTGTCTATTTGCTAAATTCATTAGAATAGGAAGCTTCTGAAGGCATTAGGTATTTTCAAACTTATTAAAGCAAAAGAAAGCCTTCATACTCATGAATAAGGTTCTGCTTAGAAGGGAGCAGAACCCTAAAAACCTGGGGCCCTTTGGCTCCTCTTCTCCCAGTTCACTTGCTACCACTTCCCAGGACTGCCTGGACAGCTCCTGAGAACCTCTTGTCATGAACTTCTGCTTAAGATCCTGGACCAGGAGATGTGCCTCACTGAGGAGTTTTTAAGACATGCAGGACCACAGACATGCACACACTCACACCGTACACACCTGAATCACAGTCTGCATTTAATAAGATCTCAGTGTGACTCAGAACAGAAAAGCTGAGAAGTTCTGCTCTGGAGCCTTTCCAAGCTCAGGCTGACAGCCTTTAGGGTGGAAAGAGCCATGTGTGCCCCAGGAGAATAGTTTTATCATCAAGCCAAGGAAGCTTTCTGAACTCCCTTGTCCTTAGTCAGGAGGTGAGAATAGTGTTGCATTAATAATTACAATTCATGTAGGCTTACGTGTAGCACTGCATTTGTTATAACCATGTCAGGAACTAGACATTACCTCTACTCCAGGTTTCAAATGTGGAAATGGAGGCAATTGGAGGTGCAGTGAGCACCTGGGCCCCTGCAGCTTGAAAATGGCAGGTTTTCCTCCATTCTTGCACCATCCTTGCTGGGCCGTCACAGGGGTGACATCAGGTGGAATAATACCTCCTAAATATTTCTGTGAAAATATCCATCAAGTCAAGGAGGTATGGATGGTCAAGAGCCAGTGGGTGTGACCCAAAGGTGCCTATTGCAAAATCTAAACTCTAAATTCCTGATATTCTTTTTTTTTTACTTAGCAATTGTATTCATGCTGCATTCTACTTCCCAATAAGGTCAGGTTTATTTAACATAAAAATATTGTTTAAAGAACATCACTTAAAGCAAAACCAATGCTTCTGAAGGAAATGCTATGCTTCTTTGGGGTCCAAGCACACTACCAGCATCTCTGGGGGACCAGGTATCCATCCTCAATTTGAGAAGCACAAGAGGTAGAAGTAGGTGGCCACCTGCCCACAGCAACACAGATGTACAAAACTGTCACCTTCAGAAAGACTAAGGGCACAAACGCCACCATGCGCTCACCGCTGGCCACACCACCGCTCCGTAGCTCTCTATCGACTCTTGGATGACGATCTTCTTGCCGGCGAACTGGTAATGCTCCTGAGTGTAGCTGGCATAATCTGTCGGAACGAATTTCTGGAGGCTACGAAGAGACGATTCTATGTTGTGAGCGTCTGTGAAGCACAAAAATAAGACAGGCTTCATGCTCCATGGATCCGGGGTGAACCTACACTGGGTCAGACGGAGGAGACCAGCGACCTTTCCCGCAGTGGGGCAGTGCCATCAACCAGGGTCTGCAATGAACACCAAGCTGTGTTCTATGAGGGCATGGGACACAAGGTTCAGATGTGACCTTTTCATCATGCAGCAAAACCCTGGAGGAGGCCCTTGGCTTCTCCCTTCTCCTGAAGAGGCAAAGACCCGTCCCCAACCTGTGTTCTGGTGTCAGGAGGAAGCGAAATTGTCAGAAAAATGGCACCTGAGAGCAGACTCTCTGCAATTAAGGAGGAACTAGGTGAACAGGAACCCGGCTATTTTTAGATCTGGACGTGAAGTAACATTCCCACGGGCTGACTGCCTCGAGCTCCCAAAATCCTTCCTGCAACTGCCCCTCAAAAGGCACAGGCCACGAGAGTGGGGCGGCTGTCACATGAGACCTGGCTATTAAGTTACTAAGGCTTTAAATACTCCTTTAACCCCCATGACCCACGATAGCCGCTCTCAAATAGCATATAAAATGAAGGGAAGAGCGCCTGACGGGGCTGACATCACAGAATCGCAGATGGTTCAGGGTTTCCCAGAAGGTTTCAGGATAAAAGAGCAGCGGGTACAAATGTCAGGAGGGAGGATGCTGAGCGCATGCGCACTCAGGGACCCTGCCTGGTGGGGGCGGAGGGGGGCTGTGGACGCTGGCAAGGGATTAGCAGGGAGGAGTTTCCTAGCCCAGGGACTGGTTTTATCTGCAGGAAACTTGCCTTGTTGCCTGGGAAACGATAGAAGATCTTTAAACAGCAGTGAAATCTGGGCTTGGGAGAAGAGCTGTCAGTTAACATTTGAAATGCCCTCATCAGAAGTAGCCACTCAAGGTGGAAGAGGGAGATGTGGATGCCAGGAAAGTGGGCCTTGGAAGAAAGCTGATCTGCAGTCCGCCCCTCGCAGGCAGGTTCCACAGCTATTTCCAACATCACTGATTTCAGTATGCACCTGAGTGGCTCTATGCTGGGAGGCGGCGTATTGATTCCAACAGGCTAACCCATCAGTAGGGGAATGTGGAGTGAGCATTAGAAATACCAGTTGATGGTGTCCCTTGAGTATAGTTATGAAGAAAGGACCCAGACATGTCTATGTAGGTTTCATTTCTTTTTGTCCTTTTTCATTGTACTTTATTGAAGTATCATTTGCAGTATCTTAGGAGATGATCCTTGACCACGGCCGAAGTGAGTCATTTGTAAATTAGCAGAAAATGCCCTGAGCTCTGCCCAGTGTTGCTCATGGCCATGGTTCTCCTCTGTATGTTCTACCACTTGGAAGAGGAATCTCAAAAAGGTGAGCTTCCTGAGTTGGTAAGTGTCTGGCAATAAATAGCCAGTGTGGCCTGAGACTGAGCTCTTTGCTGTCACATGCCCTGTCAGGGGTGGTCAGGTAAGAAGGAGACTTTAGGCTTTCACTTGCCTCTTGTCATAGGAGGCGATGCACACGGAACAAAACAAAACCAGCCCGGCACTTCTGAGTGACCCAGGAGGGCCAGCTCCTCACCCTCGGGCTGAGAGGCAGAAGCCAGAGGACAGGCCGCCTGTGCTGAAGCAGGTGGAGCAGCCACCTCTGAGAGACGGAAAAAGCCCTGATTTGTAGTGTCTGGCAAAGGCCCTGGTGCAAATACTCCMATCATGGCGGAGTCCCAACTTCTGCCACTTGAGGGGAAATACAGGCAGCCGCACACAGCCCAGCGATATTGCCCGCACACAGATCAGCCCCCAGAAAGCACCTCAAGAGCATGGCTGAGAGTGAACTGGAGTAAAGTAACTGCTGAGGAGCTTTGAGCATTTATTGTTTAGGCTTCTTAATAGACATTTGCCTTTAATATAATCTATTGAATTCTAAGTCTGTATATTCTAAATTTTAATATAGCATGTTCCACAACAAGAATTCCTGAAATTCAGTGCCATCTCCAGCATGCCTCTGGGGTGGGAGACTGACAGCAGCCAGCCCCTGCCAGCCCCTGTACCCCTGCCCTATGGTCAGGTGCACCTTCCTCCCTTCCTCCCAAGGACGGCCTGTTGGGGACTTATCTTTCCCTCAGAACTGTAGGAAAAGTTGGTGGATTGATTTTGCCTAGCTCATCTCTTCACAAGTAAGTAAACTGACAAAGAATGAGCTTGACGGTGTACTTTTCTGATCAACATTATTAAGAAACGCTGGCATACAAATGTTTTCCCATAAGACCCTCTGAAGTTCTACAAACACAGAAAATTGTATGACTGTAACACTTTAAATGTTTTCATCTATTTTTGTCTGTGCTAGCCTGGTAGTTCAGAGATCAGATCTGAGAGAGAAGGTAGAGTTGCATTTTTATGTAAATGAGTCAGTAAAAATAAATAACATGCTCATTTAGTAGAATTAAGACATATTTGTACTCTATAAATGATTGTGTTTTAAATGGCTCTTATGATACCATTTTTATGTCTGTTATTTATGTACTTCTGAAGCTGTGCCCAGAAATGCAGCTACACCGCCACTCTGCTGTCCTAGTGGAGAAATGCACCGTGATTGACAAGGGTCCATCACACTGCTGGAATGCATTTCGGCAAAGAACAAACTGTTTTTTAAAGTTCTTGTTACAAACATATGGCACTCTCAGATTTAAATACAAGATAAAACAAAGTTGCAGACTTGACAAAGCGAATGAGAAAATCAGGGTGATGTTTCAGTCTACACACAAAGGCGTTGTCAACCATGCTTCATTGTGGTAAGGATTTAGAGTTAAAAGGAAATGGAAATTCTTGCGGACCAAGTTAACTTGAAAATGTCATCATTAGGAAAGCAACTGAGGAAAGCTGTGGCAGGGAGGAAAAGGAGTTTACCTCCTGGGGGTCCCCCGGTGCCATCTTCCTGGAGAGCCCCCTCCTCTTCCTCCAACCAGCCACCTGGGGAGTTCGGTGCCTCTCCCAGGCACAGGGACTGCTGCGCAGAGCTGAGACACACGTCCATAGCTGGAGCCTGCTGGGAGGAAAGAACTGGACAAGACCCGTGTCACTTGGCCCAAGGAAAGTCTGACTCTCCCTGAAGGATCCAAAGAGTGTAGCTTATCGCCTTAGCATCTGCTGAGCCGAAAAGATCAACTGCTTTTCAGCTTAGTTCCCTGGGAGAGCCAGGAGCCACCCAAGGAACTGCCATTTGGCTTTGCAGAGCAAGGTACAGAGAGAACATGAAACACCACCGAGTCCTCACATGGAGAAAAGCAAACTCAGAGCAGGTGTAGCCCGGGAACAAGACTGTCACTCGGGGCTAGAGCAAGGTTTGGTTATTTTGAAACCTTTGCCATTCTCTAGTGTCACCCAGTGTTGTAACACATCACTAAGTTCTGGGGATCTAAAATGCATTTCCAATAACTTTTGGATCTGAATTCCAATAAAGAAGATCTGCCCCGATTTGCATACCATTGGGGATGAGAAAGGGTAATGGCATCATGGCCGAGGAGCCAAGCCAGGGTTTGGAGCCAGTGCCAGGCTGCTCTACTTTCATCTGAGGCTCTGTTGGAAGACGGTAGAGAGCACTGGGCTGCATGCCTGGAACCTGGCCTGGCTCCCCACTCTTCACACTTGGCAAGCCACCTAATCCCCTCAGCACCCATTTCCTCACCAGCAGAAAGGGGATGACAGCATCTGCCTCGCTCATGGGGCAATGGTGAGAGACAGAAGAGCCAAAGTGATTATAAGCCACCGAGAACTCCACCTGCCTGGGCACAGGAGACCTGGCTATGGGGATCACTGACTGGCATCAACGCAGAAATGCCCGAGGCAGCCTGAGGACCCCCGTGCTCACGGCTGCCCAGCGCAGTGCTGTAGTGCTCTGTGTGTACCTTCTCAACAACCCCCTGAATCAGGCACTGTTGTTACATCCTGTCTCGGGTGGGGAATCCAGACAGGGAGAAATTGAGAAGCAGCCCAAGAGCAGCTGCAGGTGGCCAGTGACAGGGCCCTGAGGCAGAGCAGGAGCCCACCTGCAGACCCTGCCTGGTGCCCACCAGTCAGCGCAGCCCAAGCTGCCTGGGTTCAGCCTTAGTGTTCCTTGTCTAGTTTGCCCTGAAATTACTTGCAACACTTGGCTTGCCTCCATGCTGTGACAGTGACAGCCCTGGTCTTTCTCACAAAACATAAATGCTTTTCCTTACCCATTTTTACCATCTGGGTTTATTCTACACACACACGGTCACTGCTGTATCCTATTGTCTCAGCCAGTGGAGGATGGCCACCAGACACCTCACCCACCCATGACTACGGAGCATGTAAAAACCACACCGAAGCCAGCTCTTCAGGTGAGGAGTTGACCAGTGAACAGGCACACAGAGAAGGACCCCAGCCTGGGCAGCATCTGGAATTCCATCCCACACCCCGACTGCCCCTCTCACCTGCAGGCATCAGAATCACACAGGAAGTCGGCTGTGGTGCAGGTAATGTGATGTTTCCACTGACTCTGGAATCAGCCATTCAAACATTCCCCCCCCCCCATTCTCTAACTCACACACTAGTGGAAACTGTTCCACCAGTCTGTGCTACACAGGAGTTTTTTTCTCTTGCAGGTACTTGCTCCTTCTTTTCCACTTCCCCACAATTTCAGGAAGTTAATGGTTCTGCCTAAAAAATAGCAGTCTGGCTCTGAAAAGTACACAGTAGGTCCTGAGTACAGACAGACCCCTCAGCTCTGGTGAGAAGCCTGCATCGGGCGGCTCCACCATAAGTGATCTGCATTGGAAGCGCAGATCATGTCCCCCCTCCTAGGAGGGCTGTGGGTGTTGAGAGCCGTGACCCACCCAAGCCTCTCACACACACAATATCAACTGCTACCGTCATCTCCAGGCTTCAGAGGAGACCACAGCGTGACACTGCATGGGGAATTCCCACATGTCACCCTGAGATGCTGCACATTAAGTTCAAGACATTTCTGCATCTGGCACACAAGAGAAGAAGACCTGTTTCCATTCAAATACCCGCTATACTTTTTCTTGTGAGACAAAGTCACTCCTTCCCTGTCATTATAGTTGACATGACAGATTCCCTCCCAAAAGACAGCAGTGCATTGAAAAACAAGCCAGAAAAATATAATCTACTTAGTGTCTACACTGTACATTCATATATTTTAAAGATCTTTTTTTTAAAAAAGATTATTTGTTAGTACCCTCAAAATGATTTCTGTTAGATATGCCTTTACCTTATGGAGCAGAAGAGATTTGAGGTTTCTKGGCACCCTTTAATCATGTGTTTATATAGATCTGTCCTGAAAGGATTAGCTTTTCATGAACAACAGCCAGCCAGTGGAAGCTCAAGTTATTTAGGGGAGCATTACCCGCCACTATGCAGAGGCACATTGCTTTGCTATAATTCTCTCTCATGCTCTCTCTTCCCCAACACACACACACACACACACACACACACACACACACACACACACACGTAGGGGGAGGGAGAGAGAGAGACCTTGCAACATGAAATGGAATTTCCCTCAAAGGATCCATAAATATGGGGCTGGGGTTATCTTTTAGCGGTAGAGCGCTCACCTCTCATGTGYAAGGCCCTGGGTTCGATCCTCAGCACCACATAAAAATAAATAAAAGTTATTGTGTACAACTACCAAAAAAATAAACATTAAAAAATTCCATGAATATAACTCCAGCAGAACAGAGACTTCCGGGAGGGTGCCCAGGTGCTGTGGTGTGGTTTCAAGGTGGACTTCCATTTTACTTTTAAAAGAAGTGGAGGTGTGGCAGCTGGGGTCTTTACCCACTTACAAACTTTGTGCTCATCATCCAGACTCCTTGAGGCTCAAGGGAGGGGAGTGTCTGCTGCAGACTCTGCCCAGGACCCGATCAGGGCAGCCAGAAATAACATGAGCCTCTGCCCAGAGGGAAGGAAGATGTGGGTGAGGAAGAAAGGAGGACATCTATCCATTAGAAGGGCCTTGAGTCAAAGGCTTACAGTTGCATCTGGGCTGTTTCAGAGGGGCAGCAGGAATAGGATATCAGAAATACTCACCCCCCCCCAAAAAAAGGAGCAAGCCACTGTGATTTACTTAATGAAATAAGGGACAGCTAAAGGAAGGAGTAAAATTACATGCTCCTTAATGGAGCTCGGAAACCCTTAAAATAGAATATGGGTCATGTAAAGTAAAGCCTCAGGCAAATGGGAATTATCTAATTATTCTCATTTATGTAGAGCTCTGTTCAACCAGCAGCTGAATCGATACTGACTTAYTCCAACCTTCGAACTCACTTCTCTGCCATTGCTATTTTTTTGTTCTTTATGTCAGTTTCTTGGAACTTTGTCTGGATGTGTTGTGGTGCCATAGCTTCGGGGTCTTCTCTCCAGTTCCTTAGGTGCTGGGGAGACCTGGCATTTTCCTGCTCCGCCATCCTACCGCCCTTCTGCTCCCTGTGGGTCCACTTCTGGGATTGCATCCTGCATTCCTGTCACTTATTCCACCAGATGTCATGTCCCTGTAAGAATAGTTCCCTGGCACGTGTGGTCGCTGCCTTTGTTGTTCAGAGTGAATTTTCCCAGCRCTGGAGCAGCCGGGAAGACACCCAGAGGCCCGGGAGGGGCTGGCGCCATGCACAGGGCGGGCACACATGCGTTGTTTTCAAATAGTTCAAGTGCCAGCCCATGAGGAGGGATCAAGCCCTCGGCAGGGCTCTGCAGGGCTCACTGATGAAGTCAGTTACCAGGAGGCGGCATGGGCTCAGTAGGAAAGAACTTTCTAACCAGCACAGCAGTGGAACAATTGATCCCAGCAGGCCCCGCACACTGGAAAGGTGGGCCAGGGCTGGAGTCAGAAGACAYAGATGGTGACGGCTTACCTGGGGTTCAAGCTGGGCTGTCTGTGTGGGGCTGCTCTGCTTCCCTCCTTCAGCACAGACCCTTGTCCCTGCGCTTTTTCTGATTAAAGCTGGCTCTCTGGCCCCTGGTTCTCTTGGGGGAATCCTTCCCTCCCTACTGAGGGCATCTTGCATTTTGGGGAGACTTGCTTGTTTGGTGAGGTGCTAAGGGGACCCATGCACACAGCAGGGATGCTGATTAACATCTCGCCATGGGTAGGTCAAGCCCCAATAAAGAATGACCCGGACAGTCCTCAGTAATACTCTCCAACTCCGGGTAATTCTTTGTTGGTCTTGAATGGATGGAGTTGGACAATATTATACGAAGTGAAGTAAGCCAATCCCCCCAAAATAAAGGCCGAATGTTTTCTCTGATTAGTGGATGTTGATCTATGATGGGGGCGGGCATGGGAAGGATGGAGGAACTTTGGATTGGGCAAAGGGAAGGGTCAGGAGGGGTCATGAGGACAGGAAAGATGGTGRAACGAGGTGGACATCGTTACCCTAGGTACGTGTATGATGGCACCAGAGAACTGAAATGTGGCACTCCATTTGGGTACGATGAATTGAAATGCRTTCTGCTGTCATGTACAATGAAGTAGAACAAATCAAAATTAAAAACAAAACAAAAATAAAATATGACCCGGCCCCAAATGTCAACAGTGCCACGTTCCAGAAGCCCTTGTCCAGACAGTGGACCAGAGCCGTCCTGCGGGGTGATGACCATCCTGAGCACTCCACCTACTAGCTGAGTGACCGTGGGTGAGTACCCTGTCTCCTTTGTCCCTCGGGGTCCRCGTGTGTAAAATAGAGGTGGACTAGCATTTGCAGGGCACTCAACACATGGCCGATGCTGAGCTACATCTTCCCCACCTTCCTTCCCCAGTTTACTTAGACTGGTTTCTCTAAGATGCAGACGTGCAGACAGCGATGGGAGCCGGAGCATGTCTGGGAAGTATGAGTAACTCGGGCAGAAGGTAGAAGTCAYCCAGGGGAGACTGCAGCCCGCARAGGGAGCGCTGAGGAGCCRTGTCCTCAGTGGGCACCKGCRCYGGACTAGGGCGGGGGAGCTRGGCAAATCTTGCAYTTGACAATCATTCTACTCCCGGTTCTGAGAGCTTCTGGGGTCTTTTTACAGAAACACCTCAGACACAAAGAGAGCAGCAGCTGGGTACTCAGATGCGTCTGAGCACTGTGAGCCAGACGTCTGTGACAGCCCCACCCTTCCTGCAGTCTCAGAGGAGTCAATGAAAGTTTATGTACCTTGAAGCATTTGGTGCCTGGTGCCCATGGCACCCCAAGAAGATCACGGATAAATTAATGCTTTGTAATGTTTTGTGTCATGTGACTCAAGGAGGTTGAATTCCGAGRGCTCTTGTCGAGGACTCTGGGTCAGCCACCAAATCAAGTGGAAAAACCAAACATACAGCCTTGAGAAATACTTCATCACAAGGCTGTCAGTTACTTATCTACTCTATAAAGCAGCTCGGTCACAAAACCAGTGAGTTGCTTTGATGGACTTATAAGCATTTTGAAGAACAGTTGTTTGTTTCTATTTTCAAATTTCAAATTGATGGTGCCTTGGGTCCTTGTCCCCAGCCATAATGATCAATAGACAGGAACCCAGGGTGCGAATTCAGGTGGATGGATACAAGATTGATTTTCTCCTTGACACTGGGGCTACCTTCTCAGTCCTGCTGACAGAACTCTGGGGGCAAACAGTGCTGTCCACCTCTCCTATTGTCGGGGTAGGAGGAAAGACCATCTATCCAAGAAAGACTCCCCTATTACTCTSTTCCATAGACAACTTCCCAACCTCTCAGACATTCCTAGTTATGCCCCAATGTCAAGTTCCTTTGCTCGGCTGAGATATTCCCTCTAAATTCAATACAACAATCAATATACAGGCTGCTAGCGTCGGTCAGGCCCCAGAATCGGTCTGTTCATCTTTTCTGGCCCTTTTGGCAGAAAGCTGGCCATTCTGCTCCACTTGTGAGGCTGACATGAAATACCACACTAACCTACTTGACCCGATTGWATGGGATACCCACACCCCCTCCACCATTTCCTGATTTTTCAGGATCTTCTTAGCAAGGGGTACCTCCGTCCTGCYCATTCCCCTTACTCCCATACTAGTGGTAAAAAAGCCCAATGGGTCCTACCTATGACTCATCAACACTTCCGTTAGGCCCATAAAGTTCTTCTGGGCCTACAACATACATCCTTTGGTTCCCAACCCATACACTCTGCTGGCTCACATGATCCTTACCCACCAATCAGAGCCCTGCTTGCTCACATGATCCTTACCCACCAATCAGAGCCCTGCTGGCTCACCTGATCCTACCCACCAATCAGACTAGCCCCTGCTGGCTCACCTGATCCTTACCCTCCAATCAAAAAGCACCCCATGCCAACTGTCAAACCACCCCTGGCTCTATAAATATGCAGAGCTGTTCCTCAATAAACGGGCATTTGCTCCCACAACAAGCCTTGTTTGTTCTTTCATTTCCCAATCCATTTCTTAAGGCATATTTCTTCTCAAAGAACTTTTATTATAATTTTATTAGAAAGATCTCCAACTGCAACAGCATGTAACTCACAATGGGCAACTGTCAGGTTTTGTGGTATCACAGCAGCCAAGAATGCTCTGGGGTTGAGCTAAGGGCCTATGGTATTAATTCCATGAGGAATGCTGTGCTTGGAAGCAGGTTTTGATGAAAAATTCTAACAAAGAAAATGTCTTTAAAATAGAGTGTTAATTTGGTAAAGACATTGAATCTGTCTTAAAATTGAAAAAATGATAGCCTTAACCCCAGAAAAAATGAATCCAAATAAATTTGACATTATGGAAACATGCCTTATTTGAGAGTAAGGAGGAAACATAGGCCTTAATTCTAGTTTCACTGTCAGACCTGTTAACAAAAAATAAAATAAAAAATAGAAATGCCTACACACATCCAATTCTCCACAATGGATGTAAGTACCCAAGACAGACCCCTGGTCTTCCACCAGAGCCCTCGGGGTAAGGCAGCGCAGGCCACCCCCAGCTCTGCCACCCTGCAGCTCAACCAGCAGCCTCTGCACCCTGCTCTTTCCACATTGCCATCTGCCTGTGGGAAATGGCACTTTTTAGGGTGGACTTGGCTGTAATTAATCATCCTCTGATTTTAGCAACAGCAGTTGACTACTGTTCTGAAAGGCAATTTTTTCCAAACAGGCTTCTATTAGGAAAGAATGTGTTTACCTGGTGGAACTATTCTGGGATAT